AGTCTTGTATGTCCTTTAGTAACCGCTCAAATATCTTTCCTACAGAAGTTAAAGTTGCAGGTCTCTAGCTATGGGTTGAAGACCTAAATCACTTCTTTCTAAATACAGGCACCATCTTTGACTTACACCAAATCCTGTAATGCCAGAGTCTGTAAAAATTAGATGGATTAGAAAAATGTTAGGCTCAACTCTTTGATGACATGTAGGCATAAGTTATTTGGTTCATGGGACTTTATTTTGTCTGTTTCTGGACCCTACCTAGTCTGTTTATGTGTTAATACCATCCCCATCATATACAACAGCTCTGTCATTTTCCTTTGTATATCAGTTGTTTGTTTTTTTTTAGAAGGCCTACATGCTTGGATCTAGCCTTTTTTATTAATATGTTTAAAGCTTTTAGGGGGGATTAATCTTGCTCTCTTTAGCAACCTCTCATTTGTTTTACATTTTGCCCTGCTGATTTCCTTTTAACAGCTTTGATTGGATTCTTTGTACATATATGGTTTAAAACTCTCCACCAAGGAGATCACTTACATCTCACATAGGCAGATATAACCACATTTTCTGTTTACCCTGCCTCTCAGAAAGACAACATATCCTGGGATGTTAACAGCTTATTCATGAAGAATCAAGTCAATATTCTACAATACCAATTAAATTATATTGCTCTTTATGTACCAAAGTTTCCAGCGCTCTCATTTTGCTTACCAGACTTCTGGCATTTGTGAACAGACACTTTAAGCTATCATTACATTGTATACTTTATACTATAATCACAACTGTCTTTCATCAATGTTTTTGCTTTTAAAATAGATATCTCCTTATCACCTGCCATAACCTTCTCCCCGTCTTTTCTAATTTTACACTTCAGTAGTGCCTGACCTATCAGCCCTATTATTTTCTAAATTACACTTCCCTATACATTCTAGTTTAAATACGCCTCCAATCTTCCTATAAAACTCCTCCCTAGCACAACACACCCCCTTCCATTTATGTGCAAACTATTTGTAACATATAGGTTGTACCCCAAGTTAGCCCAGGTCCTCCCCATAACAGTTTCCTTCTCTTTCCACGCCTCTCCTTCATCTTCTTTCTCCATTCATCTTCCCTGTGGACTGGAGGCATTGTGTAAATCAGTAATGCTTCTACTACTACTATGGCCACAACTTCTAAAAATAAAACTGACATAAGTACTTTATCTGTTATACGAAAAACACAAATTAGAAATTATACATCTACTAGTGCATTTATTCAAATATCTCTGTTCACGCTCATCCACGCACAATCTCAGCAGCACAACACCATCAAAACTCTACAATAACTATATGCAGAAAGCTGTGTTCCTAATATCTGCATTATACATATAATAAAATTAAGAGCAAACCAGTAAGAAAATATTGACAATAGTCAAGTCTTTTTTTCCCCCCCTCGTTTGAGCATCATAAATTACCCACTGAACATGGGGTTGCGACCCACTTTTGGGTTGCAACCCACCAGTTGAGAACCACGGTCATAGAGTAAAGCAAAGAAAGTGTGAAAAGAGTTTAAATATTACTTATTATAGAAATATATTCTAAAGTGGCCTTAGGTCTTGTTCACACCATGTCCTGACCAGAACAGTTTGTTCGCGGACCAAAAAAGCATCCCAATGTATCCCTATGGTATTTCTGGGCTCTGTTCACACTAGCACAGTCCGTTCTGGACCAGACAAAAGAGATACACGTTTTCTCTGGTCTGAAATGCACTGGAACGAATGGAAATGCATCAAAACCGCATACCTTTTGCATGCAAATGCACTGGACCGGACCTGAAAGCCCATTTTAAGCTAAAAAAACAAGCAAAAAAAAGCTACGGAACAGCGGAAGTAGCAGGAGAGACGGAATGCTGTTTTTAAGCCCCCCCAAACGCCATGAAAGAATGCATGTAAGAAGATATCGTTAGAAAACAAGAGAAACAGGCACAACTAACATCAAGAACCAAGAATGTAATTTCTGTATTAATTTTAACATATTATTGGCATACCATCTGCTTGTCTACAGACAGCATCAGACAAGAAGAATCTCAGAATTATACAGCACTGGCCAATTGCTCAGAAGATGAACCTAATTTATTCTGTTTTAATAATTTGACTAGCTGGAACAACCTGTGTCTTAGCTGGGCCAAAATATTTATTTCAATGAAATTATAAACATGAAATAAAATTAAATGGCAGACAGATTCTGTCTATGTTCAGAATTTAGACATTTAACTCTATGATAACCACTAACAATTATCATCAACAATATACATTATGTGGACTGAATTACTAAAAATTAGTAAAATGTAAATGTACATACTTTGAAAACATTCCTGCATGAAGATATAGTAAAACAGGAATTCTACAAAGTGTGATCCTTGTATACATGACTGAGTTTTAAACATACATATTACGCTACATGTGTAATTCTACTGATACATTGTGCAGCATATTACCAAATCTAAAGCTCCAGTAATTCAAAGTAACAGCCATTCACTTTTGACTGACATACAGTGTAAGCAAGAGGCAATTAGGTTAATTTGCTGTTGTTCCTTTTTACTGCTGCTTTATCACAAAAAATACAATTTGAAGATAATACGTATTGCCTTTTTATATCCTAGGTATCCTTTGCTGTCAACAATAAGGGAGTTCTAGACATGGTCTAGTTTATAAGAAAATAGGCCCAATATTAGGCCCAATACATGTCCCAACAGGGTGCAAGCAAAGAGACCTTTTCAAGCACTGCTTGACCTATAGCCAATTATTCAGTTTTAAGTGAAGAAAAAAGAAGACAGCTTTAACTGTGTGTGTTGTATTTGGAAGAAGATCAAAGTGGGTCCTAGTAGGGTATGTCTGGTTCCAGGACTGATGTCTTAACGTAAAATTATAGTGAAAGGATGTGCCCATGTAGGGGCACTGTTAGATGTGTGTCAGGGACCAACCTATTGCATATTTATTCAGCTATTTGCAGCTGTTCATTCTTCTGGGCCATAGTCAAGAACTTAACAGTTAGCAATAGAGTCATCTTTTTTGACTCCTAATGACGATTTTTCCTTTGCCACCACTTCACTGGTTTAATGTGGTAAATTTCTTACTGCTTTTTCCCTCCCCTTACTGAATCCTCCAGCACTTTAGATTCTTCTACCGTTTTAATGCACATGCCCCAGTGTCCCCTTTATGCTCTCGTGCATTGTGCCCACCTAAAGCAGCATGGTGAAGAAGTACTGTTCAGCTCCAAATTTGTCCATCATATTGTTGCAATTATTTTGTCCGAACTTGATCGACTATGAGGAGAGAAGTGCTAACACATAAAATCATTTTTAAGAATTCTTCCACGTTTATACATGAGCTATAGGAATTCATTAAACATGCTGGATTGCTAGTTGAAATGCAAACTTTAAAGGTTTTAGTTTACTGAGGTCCACAGCATGAAAGAAGAAATCTGACAGGTTGCTATGGTTTATGAAACATTTCACATTAACCTCTGCCTTACTACAGAAGCTAGGTACTGTAGAAATATCGAAAGGAGCAACGCTATGCAGACTTTAAAGCCCATCTCCAAAATAAAGTTAATCCTCCTCCCACCCCCCCTTTAACTGATCTCTGGATATAAAAAAAAAAAACTAAAAACAAAAAAAAATCTCAATGCCCCCTAAAGCCATGTCTCATGATACTCTTGTCCTAAGCCTTCTCTTCACTTTCATTGGGTTCCTTCTTTGGGTGTCCATGTGAGTGCCTATGTGGCATGTTGGCTGTCTAGCAGTGAGGTCCCCCCGGGATCCTGCATGGTGAGTGATGTCATTGCGAGGGGACTGTCAGGAACCAGCTAGAGAGGAACCATCTGCAAAGCTAGGTTAGGAGTTTCCCTAGCAGTCTAGACAGGGTGATATCAAATAAATATTTGTAAGAGGCATTGTCAGAAGAATTAGCCTGTACAGCTAGAAATGTTCAGCTGTTTTTCGGATAAATGAATACTTTTGACACATCTATATTTTCACTTTAAGATTATAGAACAATTGTATACATTAATCATACCCATTTCCTGTACCTTAAAGCACTTTTTCTTAACATTATCTGCCAAAGTAGCATGTACATTTTTCAAACATATTATTTTTGGTAAAGAAAACCATTATCATTTACAGATCAATAATTTAAATAAAGTCTGGTCTGGTTGTCTATGGCAAGCCAACTCTGCATTGGTGCATGTTGTAAACATAATAATAAATCTTGATAAACAAATGTGATAATCAAACTGTTCACAAACAAAGATTCAGACAGCTACCTCTTCATAACATAGGGAATGGTTATGTTTGTAATAAATACATAGATCCCAACTGTCCCTGATTTGGAGGGACTATCCCTCTTTGAAACCAAATCCCTCTGTTCCACTTTCCTCCTTGCATATGCATAGACCTGTATAGCAATGTTCTATTTCACTACCAAAAGTGTTACATTGCCCTAAACACTTAATCCAACCTTTTGAATTACTACTTTTATTATTTTGAAAAACCAGTATAAAGGGAAAGTAGTGTGTGTGGAGGGGAACCATTTTCTAGTTTAATCAATCATTTATTGCATTAAAATTAGGAGCTTGGCAGGGGTGTGTCATACTTAATTTACACTAATATGTGTCCCTCTTTCACATCTCAGAAAGTTGGGAGATATGTTAACAGAATGCAGACTGCAAACCATCTAGGATTTTTGTGCTTTTTTTATATATTACCATGGCTAAGTGTATAAAGTGAACTGAACTGAGGAAGGGGTAGGGTTTAGAGCCTATGCAAACACCGCATTTTAGAAAACTGATATTGGCACAGGAGGTTGGTGGGGGGCTGAAGTGATACCTTGCAAGTGCCCTCAAGATATGTTCTTGCACCTTATGCTGCCACTAAATTGTTAGTCTGAATCTTCAGTCAGGGGTCATATTAACACCAGGGTAACATTTTTCAGATTAACTATTTCCCTATATTCCATTATTACTTACAAAAAGAAGTAGAAGGACAATATCAGGGTTATCACAAGCACAAGCAACATGCATGGGAGTCCAGAATTCCTCATCCTGGTGATTCACATTAACTCCTCGGTCAATGAGGATTTCTGCGGCAAAGGAATTATCATACCGTGCACACTGCAAGAGAAAAGGATAAAATCTCATAGCAGGAAAGGAATATTTACATAATACACTTCAAGGGCTGCCTTCACAGCACAGAGCTATAATTGACTGTGTGCAGAAAGTCACAGATTCATGGAGGAAGATAATATACAATTTAAGACAATTACACACACTTACAACTGGCTGTGGATGACAAGGAAGCAGGATAGACATTATATTTTAGTATGAAGGGGTCAAAATGAAATGATGCCTTATTTCAAACAGCGTGCCAATGCCTGTATATGCTAGCCAAATTGTGAAAATAAGTAGTAGAAGGGCAAGATAAATGCAGATCTGATGTTTATAGCAAATGGATTATGAGGTTATGTCTGCTATCAAGCAAACAAGGAATGGCTCCCTATTCTAACAGCTGGATGAAGATAAACTGAAGGAGTAGCATGGCACATATGAGATTGACAATACTGGAATACAGTAAAAACTGGAGCTGCGAGTCAGATCAATTGATCTTTTGATCTGCTCACACACCTCAATAAGCATATATTTTGCATATGTCCTTCTCCCTAATCTGTGCCTTTACCTCTCCTCCATACAGCTGTAATATAGTTGTACTAACACTGATCGCAATCTCTCCTTAGTTGAAGGGTAGTCTATGTGTAAGTATTAAACCAGATTTAAACATGTTTAACCTCCAACAAGTATACAAATGCAGCTTAATAATTATAGGGACTTCTATCCACTGCCAACCAGGCTACCATAGTCAAAGTTTCTAACAACACCCCTAGGAAACCAGCGTTGGTAGTTTTTGATAGTTTCGGCAGTTTCAGCCCCTCAACTCTGAAATGTGAACTAACCTATAAGGCAAACTGTTATTGATTAGCTTATCTGTAATACTTAAAGTAAAATTAAGCTCTCAAACTTTTTTCAATAATTAATCCAGATCATATATTGCCCAGCAAAGTATTTCTAAGTAGACCAACCATTCACAGTCATTATGTATTTACATCATGTATAAACAGCTGGCTCCAACTCTCTCTCAGCTCTACTTCCCTGAACTTCCTGTTCGGTAAAAGATCACAAGTGTCAGCCCAGTCTCCAGCAGATGTCCATCTACTAGCCTGATCAAGGGAGAAGGGAGGAGTGGGGGTAGGGGGCAGGGAGAAGTGGTTTGCCTTGGTCTGCCTGTGTGTTTCAGGAGATGCACAAAGTTTACTAGCACACAAAAGGACGACTCCAAAAAACCTGTAAGGGAAGGGAGCCATCCTAAAACAGGATGTCAGAGCCAGTGCTTTGGAGTGTTCCCCTGTACCCCTTCTGTTTGATTTTAGTTGGTACAATCCCTAGCTTGACACTTCCGGCCCCTCACTCTACTGTTTAGATAATTTCTCTTTTCAAGCAGTGACAGGGCTTAAAAAAGTAATTGAGGGGGATTTATTAAATTGGAAGCAGACAGAATCTGAAACAACTGTGCAAGGCAACCAGTCAACTTCTATCTTTAATTTTCAAATCTTAACTGAACAAACTGAAGATAGAAGCTGATTGATTACTATGGGCAACTGATACAAATTCTGTCTGCTCATTTTTAATAAATTCCCTTCTTACACTTTAAAAGACTGGAAAACAGTATTGTACTGATCTAAAGTAAAACTGTGTTGGATTGAACTTCTGTGTCTTATTGAAGAGTCAAGCTGCCTGTGGATTCTGCCAGGTCAGCTAGTGGCCATATTATTCGCACAGACTGGGTCTAAGGAGGTATGTCATTGCATATGGTATATCTTGGATATATCTTTATTTGGATACACCTGTTAAAAAGATCAGCTAGCATAATCACTTTGTGTTGGATCCCATTTAGACTAATGTGCTGTAGCAAAGAACGATAAAACTCATTTTTTTATTGCACATTACTGCAACACACATTAACTCATGGATATCCGTTACCCCCAATACACATATACAGTACAAAAAAAATGCACCTCAACTATAAGGTACTACAATGCACAGATGTGAATACTCTAGATGTTGTGGTGTGCTGTGTTGCTAAAATAATGCATGTAAGATTTTTGTGCACTTAGGTGCATTGAGACAATACAGCCTGGCTGTGCATGCACAACTTGGCATGCTTTACTATATATGTACGTATACAAACATATGGGTTGTAAAAACTATATAAATATGTATTTTTTTCATGCATATGTATTAACATATTCTCTATTTCTGTACAGAAATAAGATCTTGCACTATTTGATCTGAAGAAGCTGACTGTCTCTGAAACACGTTACCATCATTTGTCTCTGCGCAAATCTTTTCTCCCCCTTAAAAAACACCATCTAGAACATATTGATCAATACATGGTCTTGTGACCTATATTCTTTTCTATGATGTACCTCTTTATATACTTGGTTTTTAAGATGTATGCAGCCTTTTATACATCTATAGACTAATAAATGATTATGAAGTTGAAATACTTGTAAGGATAAAATGTTTTACCATATAGGACACCTATAAAATCCTAATGAATGCAGCTCTAGGGTTCAAATATAAAATTATTATTTTCTTCCAAAAACTTACCAGATGAAGCAGGCATCCCCCAGATACAGTAAGAGTATGAGGATCAGCTCCATCCTTAAGTAACTGTAACACTGAAACATAAAACATACAATATTTCCTATAACCTTGTAGAGAATATAACATTGACATTAAATTATAACTGGTATACAACATATGTCAACCAAAATTTGGGGTTATTTACAATAGGCTATTTAGCACAGCGGTACACCCCACAATAACTATCTTTAACAACTGGACCATCCCATTTAATTGCTCTATGTAATGTAATTTAAATGGTTCATTTTTATAGCATGCTTCCACAATACTGTAAGCAGCAGTTTGGCTATTGTTTACATTAAGTGAAGTAGTAGGCATACTTGGACACATCATTACACTGAAACCGCACTTTGAAAATCATGGAACTGTTTGAACACTTCCTTTTGAAATTGCTAGTTGTCTGGCTGTATTTGGCTTCAGTACCTGTACTGATCCAGATGTGTGCAGATCAGTTCAGCTAGCATGAAATTCAAGCATCTGATATTCCTTCCAGGCCAGTGGTTCAGAATGTATTTAAGCCACTGGATCAGCAGGACAGCCAGGGAAATAGTGAGTACAGAATGGGAGGTCATAGATGTCAGCCTCAATTTTCTCACTGCAAGCTTTCATTAACAGTGCAGTGAACAGAGTATATAATATTATATATTATAAAGAGGAATAAAATGTTTTTCTGAATACTATATACACAAATTAGTAGTAGCTTGCAAAGCAATTTGATCAAAAAACTGACATAATCATGGTTATTCACAAAACGGTGAAGGATTTGGAGAAGGCAGGAGAAGTGAACAATCTAGGACAACATAGCTGAACTGGAAAGTGAGCTGAATTGGGGAATTTTTCCAAATCAGCTATTTTGGCCTAGATTGTTCACTTCTCCTGCCTTCTCCAAACTCTTCACCCTTTTGTGAATAACCCTGAATGTGTCTCTAAAGCCAAATTCTTAATTTTTTAATAAGTCTATTAACGGTTATATTTTAAAAATGGATTGTGAGGAGAGTCTCCAGAGTATTTTACAAACCAGAAGACTCAAGCTCATCTGTTGACTGTATCAAGACAATTCTGGTTAGTCCCTCAAGGTCTATAATTTGTTGCTCTTACCTTCTTTATCATCATGGTGGATTATAGCATCTTGTATCTTGTCGGAGAGATGGAAATTAACTTTGTAGTTTTTCCTTTGCTTACTTTTTTTCCTGTATGCATCCTGTTTTTGCAGGGCCTTTTCTCGCTCGTAGTAAGCCTTGATTTGGTCACAGCGCATACGTCTTACCAGACGCTGGCGCTGGCCCAAAGGAAGAGATTCCAGCAAGCACTGGTCAATTTCCATGTCATGTGATCGAAAAACATTACAAAGCTGGAAACAACCTATAGGAGAGAAAAAAAAACAGGATTATGTTCTAATTAAATTGTATGAAGCTTTCAGAAACCTATATTTGATTTTAAAACTAAACTGTATATATAAGCATACAAGTGCTTTTCCTGGTTATTTGAAAATGTTATATCATCAATGTAGTAATTCAAATGCATCCCCCAATCATTTAGCAAAGTTCATTACGTGCAGTGCAAACAATAAGCTTTTCAATTATAAAACTGTTTTGAAAAAAAAGGAGGTTTCGGTGTCACAAAAACAGTCAAGAAAAACAGCTCGGCAGGACCCCACTCTCAGTTAAGAAGACCACATGGGAGGACTCCCCTCTGTGCTGGTGCATGGAAGAGTCAGGAGCAGAGGCAATATTTTTATGAGCATGGAAAATATCTATAGGAGGTCAGAAAAGAACATGTTGAATACATAATGTGAATGATTTCTGCTGTGAAAGGTATATCATAACAGCCACAGAACGCTTTAGCAGCAGCTTTACCCACCAATGTTATTACCAACATTTATCAACAGTGATTACATTTAGAGAAGAAAAACATGATCTTAAGGATGATAAAGGTAAGTAACAACATAAATGAAAAATGGAAATTAACGAGTAACAATTCTGAAAAAGTGCAAGCAATTTAAGATGCCTGAGTTGTCTTTATATTTATTCCCATGATTCTATGGAAACCTTTGGTTTCCAAGTCCAAGTTGTATAGAGGGCTTAGTCTTCTGTCTAAGCTTAGATCAAGCCCTACTCCCTTGTAGGGTTAAGCCTTAACTCATGTCATTTCACTTCACTATGTTACACAGCAGCAGCAAAGCTAATCTTCTACTTGGGATTTTACCACCATGTGGTGTCTCTTATCACATTGCTGCACAGGACTGGGAGGTATAGGCATTGCCAAATCTCACCGGATAATTAGAATAGCAGCTATACAGCCAGTCTAGCCTGTCAACCAACCTCACTATTTAGATGGGGATACGTTCATTTCCTAGCTGTAGGATCCAGTCCCTGTTAGTTCCTCCACTCCTGCATCCCTCATCTGCACCTGCATCTGAAATTTCCTGTCAACCTTGTACCATATTCTCGTTCTATCCCTGCTCAGCTGCCATCTGCACAGGTGTGCCCAGGTGCTGCAACATGGTACACACATCAGGATGTGATATACCTGCAGGGAGCTCTGGTAAACATGTAGTGGCTTGTACATAGATTGTTTCTTGGCCCTTTTTAGGGCTTACACCCTCTCCAAACGTGAAGATAGCACAGAGGGTCCATTATGCAGTTTGTCAGTGAAATATTACACAAAAGTAGTATTTTAGGTTCTCCAAAATCATTTTTGTGAACTGGTGATCACACGGTAACTGCATATTCAAGATGAAGTCTTCGTCAATTTTTGGTCAGAGAAAAATAAGATCTCTATGGTCTATCTGGTCTCTGCATATTTTAATGCAAGAAATTATATTTCACTCTTTAGAAGCTGCAGATTGGCATTGAATGTTGTAATTTAATAAATTATCTACTAGGGCGCCCAGATCATTCTTCACGATTGATTCATCCAGTTTTACTCCACCTAGTTTGTATTATGTATGCATATTTTAGCCCCCAGGTGCATAATTTTACAACGATCAACACTAAGCTTGGTGTATATCTGCCCAGTCAACCAGTGCATTCCAGGTTAATTTTCAAATTAGAGATATCTTATAAGATCTGTATGCCACTACATAGCTTACTGTCAAGATAGAAAAAAATAATGGTCCCAACACTGAACATTGGCGCACACCACTCACAACTCTTACATTAATCACAACTCTCTGAATGCACTTTTCACATTGTCTTTCACTGAATAATCTGTTTATAGATCTTAACTTTCACAGTAGCTGTGTGAGGATCTGTGTCAAATGTTTTAGACAAGTCCAAATATAAAATATTCACAGCTACTCTTTAAAGTGACACTAAACTCAGGAGTTACATTTTAAAAATGAATTCAAGCACCTGAACTATTGACAAAAATGTATCTTATTTGTGTATCACTCAGCTGTAGATCCTCAAATCATCTCTGAATTGGTGCTGACACTGTCCTACCTTCTGGAGGGTGGCTACTTTTGTTTCCCATGGTCCCTGTGTGTGCTGTAAATTAGCTACAGCTCCAAGAATGCACCCGTGATGGACTACAATCTCAAGATTAGTAAACAAAACTTTCGATTGTAGTCCATCACAGGAGTGAGCTTGGAGCTGATATATATTTAAAGAGCTTTTTGTGAACTTGTCCTTGAATAACCCCTCCCCCCCCCAACACACACACACACACACACCTAAGTGCAGCTTGCCAAGTTAAATATGTATGGGTCTATTTACGAAGCAGCCGAAGGATCTAGCCATAGCTTCGGCCGATCCTTTGGCTAGCTTCGGCCCCAGGACCCCTTCGGTTCAGTAGAACCGAATGGCTGCTGTACGGGCTATTCACAATAGCCCGTACAGCTCCCGAACTTAGCCGAGTGGCTCAGTCGAGCCGAAGGCATATGCCCCGGCTCGGCTGAGCTGCGCTGAAAGCC